CACTCACCTTAACCCCCAATCGGTAGCGCGAATAATCCGCTCTTCACAACCACATCCTCAATCATCCTCAATCACCTCAACTCATTCTTAGTCATAGTCATTCATTCTTATTCAATCACATTCATTCACACATTCACATCCACATTCATCCTTCAGTAATCAGCAGATTATTGTATCTCGTTTCTCAGCTTATCTACGGTGCGATGTCAGTAGTGGCGGGTGTTATCAAATGCGTTGTTTGCAACGCCATCGGTGGCATGTACCATTCCTCCCAAAATGTACACGCAATGTGTACAATGCCGCTAAGCGGCCAACTTATGCTATCTATTCTGCTAAGCCGCTATAGGCTTGTCAGTTTTGTAGCCATTTATCATACTGGTCCTTACCCTTAGGCAATAGTGGCACCCATCGATGCTCAAAGTTCACGTTGCTGACATAGCGTTATTCACGACCCAGCCGCCTGACTGTGTTCCGTAGATGGCTCATCATTCACTGTCCATAGCACCGTCAACGCTCATGTAACTTACAACCCTCATCGATCCACTAAAATGCTCTTCATCGCTATAATGTTGAAATCTTAGCTTGGCCGAAACATAGCCAGTCTGTAATCTCCTTCCTCCGCCCCCCGCATACTGTCTCCCTCAGCCGCCGCACCGACCACGGATAGACGCGGTGCGGCGCGGCGCGGCATCGCTTACGGCTAACCAAAGGCTACTTCGTTGTAATCTCATTATTATTGTTAATATTGTATTAATGGTACAATAATGTTTGAATGCCACTGCCTCATTGTTAGCCTCACTTCACTACAGGCCTTAGCACCTCAGAGCTCTAACTTGTCTCATTCCTCTACTATTACTTCTCTATCGTTACTATTATGTAATTAGTGTTGTATTTATGTATTAAAGGTTTAATTACCCAGGTTTGAGGCTGGCGGATCAACGTACAACAGCTAAAACACCCGGATGGCTAATATTCTACATAAATCTGAACCGCTACACTTCGCCGCTAACCAATTCGTTACATCCCTAGGCCCCAATGTGGCGTTATCCATATGTTCTTCTGGGTCCAATCTTAGCATCAAAATCTCCGTCAACAGCCCTAGAAAACGTCTGTTCTTCTCTGTAGAACTTCTGCAAGTCTACATAGGGCACCGACTTCGTCTTCGTCAGAGCTCGATGTCGGTGGGTAGGCGATCGTCAAAGTCGCTATCCCTCTATCTTCTCAACTATAATTGTACGATTCCAGCTGTCAGCTGTTCCAACGAATCGATATTCACGGCCAAACTATAAAGCCGCCGACTACTCTATTGTCGCATGTGCCAGGAACAGTTTTCCTCCGGAATCACAGACCGCGTTGAATGGGCGACGTGTTCTCGTCTCACAGTCCGATAACGTCATATCTCAACCTTCTTGCCCGCATGATCAATTCCTCTGCAGAACTTAGATGCAAGTGAGCGTGCATTGTAGGTAAAGGTCGTCATAGTAGTCCTTTGAGATTTAATCATACTACAATGACTCTGAGACTTTGGCAGCCTCACCGCACCCATCTTACCCATTACTGTCGCGTCGGGACTCTTTCAAGGTCAAAGGAATGAGGCCCAATTATTCTAGTGTGTTCAGCATTTTACACCCACGTATAGCTTGCTGAACTCTGAACCTGGATTCAGAGATCCGGTTTCTCTCGGGGCAGATGAGGAGCTTACTTGTTGGAGTCAACTCCTGCCTCCCTATTCTTTCCTGTCACTTCATTGCAGCTTTTTGACCAAACTGACTTTTAGAATACAATCCGCATACCGCACAAACGAGGACATACCCACGCTCACATGCATGATTTCGTAAACACAGGGATATGTGCAAAATGGACGCAGCAGAAACAGAGAGTCATCCCCTAGAATACATGGAAGCATAAGGTCGTTCTCGGTCCGCGATTAACACCTTTTCCGCTTTTAGTTTGCCCTTAATTTCCTTTAGCCCACGCTTCGTATAGGTACGGGCCACGTTGCCTCATGACTAACTAGCCAGAGATCCCTTACTGAGCGAGATCATAATTTGCTACAAGAACTCAGATCAATTCAGTACCTGTTTCATAAGTGAACAGACCGATACCAAAAATCTGCCTAATACCGTAAAAGGTGAATAATAAAATATTCGACGTTGATCAATCCAGTACGGATGCACCACACATGTGATTTTACATGTTCGCAACAAAGCTGGTTTTTAAAAGCAGGCGGTTATTTCTCCATTAGGTAGAGCAGTCAAGTAGTTGAGAATGTCATAAACGTATATAAGTGACTGCTTAATTGACTTAAGGATGTACATACATTCCATAGAACATTCTCTCAATTTTACAATCATTTAGGATTGAAATTCTCAAAAAAAAGGAAACAGATAGCCTTCCCATCCCCCGGACTAAGGATCGACCGACTACACTGACAAGGTAACTTTATGCACTACGTTACACGTACCCCAATAAGCAATCACATATCATGCTCAACCCGACATACCTACGTAAAAAGGCTAAAATGCTTTACGGCGGAAGTGACAGCGGAGAAGATGCATCACTACTCTTATTTTGCATTACACACCATCCAAGCGCATGAACTCGTGCACAAATGGCACCCATGAGTTACACAATACTTGGTCTAAAACTGCCCATAGCCCATCGAATAAATATGGTCCAGCGTTTCACAACAGAGCAACTACACCTCTAAAGATGTAACAAAGAAATCCTCATTCTCACTTAGAACATACCAATAAGGCTTCTTTCCAGTTCAGGTGGGAACGATCATGAAACTTGCAAAGTGTTTTCAGAATTGACTAGATAGATGTGTGACTCGTATCATTTGTAAGTACAAATAGGTAGTTCGAAACACCTTTACTACGAAAACGAACAAATATCTTACCAGTCAATATTGTTATTCGAATTTCATCGCCTTTTTATTACACATTTCCTTGTTTCTCGACAAAGGGACTAGAAATAAAAGTCCTTTCTTAGCTATATGGTATTCATTGGTACGTTGACACCACCAAGCATAACAGTCTAGAGTTATGATACAAAGAAGCACACACACAGAATAGTAGGGAACAAATCACTCAACAAGATTCACTTTATGCAGATTCACAACGAAATAAACAGAAAGAAACAAAAGATATAGAGAGTGAAACAACCAGCGCTACGTAAGAAGACATACTTCCAAAATTTGTCACGATGGACAACATTTTTAAAACTCGAATGCCGAAGAACGTATAATAATAGAATGTTTCCTCGTTCCAAAATATAGTGGTCCAATCATCTTCTGTTACTTATTTCCCATGGATGCCTTGTTAGTCTGAAGGAAAAACGAGAAAATCAGAAACGAAACACATATGGGCGATAGCATAAACCTTACAGAATTAAAAGCTAAATTAAATTCACTACCAATGAGTGGAACCTCCCAACGGTTTACCGCCTCATCGTGGCTGGGAGGTGTTCCTGGGTGTCGGACTGCGATGTACAGCGGGAGATTCGTCCCCACGGCACGGTCTCCCAAGCCGAGAAGGAGTGCGGCATTTCCAATCAGGAAGCCTAGCTAAGAGTTAACCAATACCAGGATCCACCACCATCTTGGCATCAAAGTCGCATGGTGGCAAATCTCCCTCTCACCCACAAGGGCTGCGACTGCCTGCCACAGTGACGACCTGGGGCAGACTTTGGCCAGGCTGTCCTTGTGATTCCTAGGAACCGCAATAGTTTAACCAGAAAATCTCCGAAAAAAGGTGATTATGCTGGGGTCTGGTGATGATGGGACGTTCAAGTATTAAGTAAGTATGAATGAGTGGAAAGAAAGGTGTACCTGTACAATGCCAATGATCATCCCAAAAAGTCCAATGGCGGAAGCAAAAATTTCTATAATGAGAATCTTCACGAAAAGAGCTGGATTCGCAGCATCTGCGATTGCAGCGCCCGATCCAACGATACCTGCCAATTAATTCTTTTACATGCTTTATTGAAAAATAGTCCCAAGCTGCAGTGTGAGCAGAATAATAAGCCACTACATTTCCTGAACGCATCAAAAGCGGCTTAGAGGTGCGTGTCTAAGTGTAGGCATGCAAAACCAAGAAATATTTGAAGTTAACCACAGTTAGGGTAAGAAGACTTCGAGGTTCGATCTGGCCTGCTGTGCAAGTTTTGCAAGTATCTCAACATTATCGCGGTTATATTTCACATCATACCCTACCATGGACGAAAAAAGAATAGGCAATAAGTAGAAAGTGAAGTGACGTTTGAAGTTACTTTTCATCGATGTTTTATCATCGCAGGAATTGCTCTGCTGGTGACTTTTGTGGGTACGAACGTGATAGAGGTAAACAGAAATGAGTTAACTCAGGAGGATCAACAAAATAACAAAATTGTGTGCTAAGTAATCCTCACAGCATGTACATGAACTTCACCTTAGTGTAGCAAGGAAATGTGATTGTGATACTATACACATTGGCGGATGCATACGACGGACCGTACAAACCATATGTGAGTTAATGCTTATCTTTTTGTTTACTGCCTATTATTTCCTCACGGCAGTTATCACGTGAAATACAACGAAAATGGCTCTTTTAAAAACTTAAATCACACGTGTTCATGGCACCTTTAGGGTCAAAAACTGGTTAAGAGAAAGGCAACGCAAGGGCCCTAGTGGTCGACCGGGTAACACGTGAGTCATTGGAAAGAGTAACCGCGGATCTAAATTTGGCATATGATCCAAGTTTTGCAAATACCTCAACATCATTCCTATGTGACTTACTTTCTTCAAGACTTTATTTTGACGCCACGATTTTGTGAGCCCAAGAAAGCCATTTTCCATACGATTCAATCTCTCATTGTAAACATTATATTTAGCACGCTTCGACGTAAAACTTCTATGTCTCATACGTCCGCAAAATGTTGTACATAATGTTCTAAAGTTTTATGAAACATTTGTGAGAATGAAATCACTGTCAATTAGTTAATATATTAGTATGTTTTGCTCAATACAGTAAAAATGCGGATACAATGCACCTACCGACAGCCAATCCACAAACAAGGTTGCTGAAGCCAACAGTAAGACCGCCACCAAAAATCATGTAACCAGCAGCTAAGTTACGAGCCAATATGGCTATTTGGTCAGGCTTCGAGAGATCTAACTCCTCACGTTTAAATTCCTGAAAACAAGCATTTTCGAACACTTGCCTCTATGTGATTATCCTGTTGTAAACTTGATCAAGGATTAAGCTGAGCATAGGGTTCTTTACACCTAAAAACTGAAAATAAGACATCCCTTCAGTGATGGTTTACTGCCACCATTTGCAGGTCTCGTACAACGAACTTTCGAAGCCAGTTTGTAAAGACAACATACATAGATATTTGGATGAACCGTCCTCACTGGTTTTGCGGGCTCTAGCATAATTTAGATTGTTTCGCAGCTTTCTGGTCTAGCTAATGTGATTCCCTGGAGTCCCGAAGGCAGTCGAGATAAAGCCCGGCCCAGGACGTCATCACCACAGGCAGCCGCTGCCTTTGTGGATCAGAGGGAGATTTGCCACCAAGGGAGTAATTTGATACCAGCACGGTGTTCAATAGCTGGGTTTCCTCATGGAAACGCCGGATTCCTTTTCAGCTTGCGAGGCCCTGCTGGGGAGATGAATCCGTTCGCTGTACATCGCAGCCCCACACTCAAGAACGCCTCCAGCTACGATGAGAGGGTAAACCGTTGGAAGAAAAGACATTATTATGCTTCCCACAAAGAAATTCTTCTTTAAAATGGACGCTTATAATGTTGGGAAGGAAATGAATAAGTTGCCACGAAAATATTAGAGGTAGCAAGACGAAATTCTAGCGCAATGAGAGGAAAGAGAGCGTAAAGTGGAAAAAAACCTAGGGCAAAGGGTTAATGAAAAGTTGCACAGATAAGGTGAAACAGACCTAGTCATATCAATATAGGGAAGCCCTAGTGTGCAACAGATCACGGGTGGGCGAACGAAATGACGTAAATGAACCGAAAAATAAAAATAACTGGAAAGCAAAAAATACCGTACCGCCATCTTTCCGACAAAAACGAAAGCCATAATGATCCCGAAAATAGCCACTGCTTCACAGAAAATAATGGAAACAAGGTTCTTCGTTCGAATTCTAGGGGCTTTCACACCGCCGCCGAGAATTGAGGAGCCCGTAGTGAAGATTCCCCTAGAGAAGAAAACCCCTAGAACCACAAAAATGGACTCAGAACTAGAGTCTAGAAAAACACAGATTATAATTTCCTAACTTCTATTTGCTACAAATTAGCAGGAATACAAATTTAGGACAAATTATACAACTCACCATCCAGCTCCAAGTACCGAGAATGACAACGAGAACGCAATGCCTAGGCCGGCCCACATATGAGGTGATGTGCTGGTCAAGAACCACGCTATGTCAAATCTGTTACCCTGACCAGTTAACATGTAGTACAACCCTGAAAATGACACAAGGCCAAAGATAGCGCTTCCATTGGCAACAACAACCCCCAGGGTAATTGATGGTTGAATTAAGTTGTAAGCAAATTGAAGTGTCTGATGGTGATTTCCATCATAACAGCTTAGAATGAACCCTAGGAACCTACCTGTTCCAATGAAAACGGCAACGCCAATGGTTGTGACGATTCCAGTCGTTTTCAGGATAGCACCGGCAGCCATCCTGGAACGTTTCTCATTAGACTCTTCTTTTAAATCAACTAAAAACACGACAACCACTAGAAAAGTGCCCAATCTGAAGAAGGCAAAAGCACCCAGCAGCCAAGAAGCGCCCGGCGGCCGAGAAATTGGAGATCACTTTCCGCTCTCGGCCGGTCGCGCCGCGCGCATTGCACGCCATACGGGCGCCATGCACGCAACACGGACCCCGCCCCTTCGAGGCTACCATCTAACCGATTTTTTTTTCAAATTTACTTGTTACAACTGTGTTTGGATGTTTTATTATAGTTCTATGCTTTGGTAAGGACTACGTCACTGGTCTGATTGCTGGGCCAGCAATTCATATCAGTCTGGTGCCGTAGAATAGCGCGCTTACAATTCCCAGTCTTCACATCGATGTCCGCCTCACTTCATAGCAATCGAAATCATCCATTTTTGGCACTTTTCTTAGTTTATTGAGATGTCACTGGCATTTTCGCTAAGCCTTTCCACTGAAAGATATTTACGAGGAGTACTTCTGGTACCTGTTTCCATCAAATATTCTGTTTTCTTTTTCTGTTCCCACCTAGGTAACCTTATTTGGTCTGCATATGAATGACGTGGCCATCTCATTTTTTCGTTGGCCAGCACAGGCAGTTTTACGATAGCTGAAACCAGATACGGGAACTATATCTCGCCCAAGTGTCTCCCATCATTCCTCTACCTCTCAGCCTCTAAGTGTTGAGTAATGTCCCTCGACACAATGAGTGTAGACCAACGTGGTTTGTTTTGGGCAAATATTATAGTCGTCAATCGCTTATGTAACAATGTAAGCCATTACTTTACTTGGATACTTCGACGGTCCGTCTTCATGAGCTGTGCGAATCCTAGCATATATGCCATTCGTTCCTTTCTCTCGCAACCGTAGTCCATGGTGGTGGTCTTGTTCGAGCATGGTAGCGCTTGCGAGTCTCATACCGTGATCTGTAAAACAACGGGAGCTGCAGGTTACGAACACGTCTGCCCAACGTGTAGGTGGCAAGGGGATGTTTACATTCTCTTGGAGTCCATTCTACTGTTCTTTTCGTCCATCTGTCGTCTGTTCTTCTGATTATGTGACCGGTACATCTGTGTTTCGCTATCGATGTAAGTTCTCCTGGATCTCGAAGACATGACAGATTTCGAAGGTCAGAGCTTCGCATTCCGGCTTGACATTCATAGTTCCGGTTATATTTCAGAAGACATCGCTCAAGAGATCTGTGAGTAGTGCGGTGCATTCTTTACGTGATTGAAGCATCAACCCACGTCCTGCAGCATGATAGAGCGCTGAGAAGACCGTAGAATCGAAGATATGGAGGCGAATTATCGGGTCCTTCAGTCGGTCGGCGGCTTCTTTGAGAGGCCCGAATGCGGCCCAAGTTTTTTTTTCTATCTAGTTCATCCTTCATGTTGTTTTCCGTGTTCATTGATCGCCCAAGATAAACGTACGGGGAGGTCTCCGCAATGACAGAGCCATCCAATTCAATTTTTTCGCCTTCGCACCATGGGGTTTTTCATGAACTGGGTCTTCTTTCGATTTATGCGAAGTTCGATCTTTTTCTCTGCTTTGTTGAGCTCGTTGATCATCACCTCTGCTTCGTTAGTACTTCTTGAAAAGATGACAATGTCGTCGGCAAAACGAAGTTTGATAGGAATTTTCCATCAATGTATGCCTTTCTCATCCAAATCGAGTGACTTCATTATCCATTGCAGTGCTGCACTGAACAGCTTTGGCGATATTTTGCCGCCCTGTCGAACCCCTTTTCCTATGGGTATTGTAAGAGGTCGATGGAAAAGCCGTATTTTTGTAGTGCAGTTCCGATAACCGTCGGACAGAGTACTTATGTAGGACGGGTCCACTCCTTGGCCGACGAGCGCTGATGAACACTTTCTCATAGTCGACAAAGGTTAGGACAAGAGGCAGGTGGTATTCCCGACAAATTTCGATGACCCTGGACACGGTTTGGATGTGGTCCATGCTTCTCAAAATCCTGCTTGCTCGACTGGTTGCGCCTCATCCAGTGTCCTTGGTATGCGCGGCAGGATAATCTACGTGAAGAGCTTGTAGAGAATACTTAACAAGAATATCGGACGATGGTTACGGAAATCCCTTCGGTCACCTTTCTTGGGCAGGATGGCCGTGCGCGACGTCCTCCACTTGTCTGGGATTTTTTTCCTTTTGAAAGTAGGCTGTCATATGGTTTTCGAGAAGTACATGTAAATTGTGGCTTCCAGTTCTAAGAAAATCGGCGGCAATATTACCGGGTTTGCAGTTGTGTCACGCCTTCTATCGAGGCTCGAATCTGTGACGGAAGGATTCCAAGTGGTTTTACTCCAGCGGGAATATTAGGATCTGGGACGGAGGTTGTGAAACGGAAAAGGTTATAGCGGGAGGTTTTGACCATCACACCTTCGTTCATTAGGGCTTACAGCGGAACATTATGATCACACAAGTCCCGACAGCATTTTGTCAGACTACTTCTATTCTCTGCTGCTTCTAGTTGTTTCTTCTGCCTGTACCGGTGTAGGTCTGCCTGCAAGACTCTTCTACAGCTGGCATTTATTACTAGCATTGTCAAAGTGCGTTGAAGCGGGATCTTCAGTTTTCTTTTCTTTCCGAGCAACTCCTTAGTAGTGATGGAGGCGCGACCCGATCTTCTTGCTTGAGGAAAAGACGAATTCGGCACAGCTTTTCAGTCCCTCGACAAGCAGCTCGTAGTTTTCGGTTGGGTTTTCTTTAATCTACCAGTCACGTTTAGATAGGGTTTCGTTCAGAATGTTCTCCTATACAGACGTATACAGCTAGACTTTTTCCTTCTGGTCGATGAAGAGAGTTCTTTTCCAGCTTGCGGCTGAATCAAATCTTCGCACTAAGAAGGCGGTGATCGGAACCAGTACAGAATGACGAGACTACCGATATGTCAAGTAGGCACCATATTATGTTTGTCAGAATATGGTCGATCTCCGCATGAGTCATGCCGTTGAGAGACTTCCATGTCCAGCGGCGGCTTTACTTCTTCTGGAAAAACGAGTTTCCATGGAAGAGATGTGCTGCTGACAGGAGTCCTGCGAGACGGTTCCCATTCTCTCGTTGGCCTTTCCTATTCTGGCACTGAATTTTATTATGATTTCACAATTTTATGATATGCTTTATCATTGCGGATGACTTCCTCCAACTGATAGTAGAACGCATTTAATTCGTACTCATCAGCTGCGTCGGTCGGTGAGTAGCAGTTGATGATAGTGATCTTCTTATGATGCTACAGTTGAAGACGGAGGACGGCTATGCGAGGGGAAAGAATCACGTATGAGTCGACGAGATAGACAATGGACAGATGGACAACGAAGCCTATGCCACCGACATTTCGTGACGGGACCTTTTCTCAACGGATCACAAGCGTCCCATTGTTTAGTTAGCGTATGTCGGTCATCTTGATTTTTGTTTCTTGTAATGCGATCACATAAAATTTAGTGCGATCTGTGACCACATGAAGGGCGTGAAGATAGGCGTCTGTGGAAAGTGTTCCGCCATTATACGTGCATAGTAAGAAACAATCTCCATGGCGTGTTGTGCGTGTGTTCGTCAGGTCCGGTTCCAATGACGTCCTGCGTAACCCGAGATTTTCTGGTCTATCACCGGTGGTCTCACCGCCTGACGTCATCATAGACGGGAGCACCCAGTGTCTGGGCTCTGAGAATGGCATATTGATGGTTGTGCAACTTGGTCTTCCTTGGAGTCCTGACGTAACCTTGCAAGGGCGCAGGTCTTCACCACTATGTGGATTAAAGGAGGTGTGTTTTCGGCGACGAATCCTGTGCTCGCCCTTGCTAGTTGATTCGAAGAGATGTTAGAACCGAAATCAGAAACGAAAATAGGAATGAAAAAGTGACCGACCGCTCAAGGACGATGTAGAAGCCGAAAGCCCTGGTTGTGCCGAGCTCAGCACAATTTCCACTTTTTCTGAGTTTTGTTGGTTAGGCCATTGTGGTTCCTAGGAATCCCGAGGTCAGCCTAGCCAAAGTCTACCCCATGTCGTCACCACCACAGGCAGTCGTCGTCCTTGTGGATCAAAGGGAGATTTGCCACCATGCGACTAGTTTGATACCAGCACGGTGGTGGATCGTTGTATTGGTTTACTCTTTGCTAGGCTTCCTAATCGAAATAGCGGATACCCTCTCACCTTATGAGACTGCTGAGGAGATGAATTCCATCGCAGTCCGACGCCCAGGAACACCTCGCAGCAACGATGAGGCGGTAAATGGTTGGGAGGATCTGCTGATCACTGGTGTTTATTTCATGGTGAAAAAATGAAGGACGGTTATGGATTGTTTTCACAATCTTTTGAGAATCCGTTTTCGTAGATATTTGTATATCTTTAATAGTAATTAAAGAGAAAGTAATCGGAAAACGGAACACCCCTTGAGAATTTTTTTGGTGAATCCGACAGTGGACATCGATGTGCTGACCGTGGTATTCTTGAGAATTCGTAACAGTAGCCATGTTTCCGTTCATCGTAACATCGTTGTTCCTTTTCTTTTTCATTCGTGTTCATTTTAAGCTTTAACCCTAACACCCAATAACTAGGGAATACCACCTTCGCCATACTGGAGCACAGCTAAGTTGGATGCGAAGGCTTTTAGAAGAGGTTAGTTGAAATGTTTTCTACTTGGTATTCAGCATTCCTTTTCACACCATATCCCAGTGGGACGTGTGTTCTTCGACAATCGATTTCGAGACTTTCTGATGGGATCTTTTCTTTTCCTTTGCTATAGCTACCTGAAGCTTTTCTGCAATATTTTGTGCAGAGTATATCGCATGTTTATGTCTCCTAAAACATTGTTTAGATCACCACTTCACATCCGAGCCATTTTATTTCTTCCCTACAATGCACTGTTTACCAAAGAAATTGTTAGAAAGCATCATCCCATGGGTGCACTGGTAGCGTAGTGGTTTGAGGCGCCCTGCAATACGTGTGGGATCGATCCTCGCACCCCTGGCCCACCAAGCCTTCCATCCCTCCGGGTCTGCAAATTAGACTTGTCCGAGTGGATAGCAGCACTGGGTCGATACGTCGTTAGGCCAGCGCGAGTCATTTTAAAGATCATATATGCATTCAGTCACCTCTATCGATGCTTAATGTAGTCGAATGCATGGCGCATCTCTCTGGGATTGATCAACGCTGAGAGCTTTAGTCATTGTTGTCATACCGTGCTTTGTGTCCTGCCCTGCAATTTGTTTTAAAGTGTAGAAGGAGTTTTCGAGAAAAGTACTATGAATAGGTTAGGTGAAATCCTATACCCACCTTTTTTGTTGTTTTACATATTTTTCCGATTTTTCATTGTCTGTCTGCAGAAAAGCTTCAGGTAGCTATAATTGTCTTGCTGGGTGTACATAGGTTTGTTAAGCTATAGTTTTCGAGGTACTAGTTGCAATGATTGGTTTGCTTTGGGTAGAATTAGTGCATATACCATGAGCCATGTGTATTTGTCTGTACCTGAATTTCTTCTAGTTCTCTATTTGGATTCACCTACTAGCACATTCTTTGATACCGTGAGAATCCATCACATCGTTTAGCCAACGATAATTACCCTTGTGAACGAGTCGTATATGTTATGGGCTTTATAATTATACCGATCTCTGATCTTCACTGACGCTTTTGATGCTTTTCTAAATGCTCAGCTATAGAAATGAATGCTTTTCATGCAAACATTATCACGTTTTCCATGTGGTGATTCAGGAGGAGCCAGAGACCGAATCGCTCATTCCATCCCCCATACGATCAGTCCACAACTCTGTTTTCAATCGTCGAGGATACCAAGTATGTTTTATATCCGTTTTAGGTTTAAAATATCTTGCACGATGTGCTTTATTGTCCTAACATTTAAAGCTTTTTCCCCATTTTTGAGAATATCACTTCCATTTCTACCGTTGTCATCAATGAACTCTGAAGTTCAGCTTATTAAGATGGAGCGTCGCCATAGAGAGATTTCTCTTGATGAGGTGGATATTGATGGTCCGGCTCTTGTCCATGTCGAAACAGGTGGAGGTATTCATATTCTAGTGGTTTGGCTTAGGAAGCGTTAGGTGGAGATTCTCAGATTATGAGCTTCTGTGAGTAATTAAAAGGCATGTGTAACCTTTCTTTTTACACGTCAGTTTTAGGTGGATATGCTTCGTTCAACTCAGCCGGTCACTCTCATGACCGAGATGAAGAAGAGTACCCAGTAGATAGTGTACCACCCCTATTCGGGTGAGGTGAAGGTTATATGTCCTTACTTTCATTTCCATTTGTCGGTCGTTATTTTCTTTTAGTAAATACGGTGATTTTCACACAATAGATTGGCAACGAGATCTCGCAAGAGATAGGTTGCGACATAAGTTGATTGTTGAAAAAAGGTTAGTTAAATGTGATTTCAAACCTCTTGAAAAGCAAAATATCCATTTTTTAAAAATTTCCTTTTCAGAGCTGAGTTTCCCTTGGGAATTTTTCAAAGTGCTTGGGATGCTGGCGCAGGATGGATATGTGTTCTCATGGTAGTATTATGTTAATATTAGCGTAAACATATTGAGACGAGTTTTGCATTTTGACTAATTCTGCAGTTGCCGTAATTGTGTGGTTCATTCAAGGTAGGCTTGGCTGCTGGTGCCAGCGCTGGAGTAATCGACATTGGAGCCCGATGGATGAGTGATTTGAAGGCTTGTAACTATTGTTTATCGCATGATCTCATCATTTCTGTTTCTTTTTTCTGTGTCTTGCTGAGTAATACTCGCTTATAGGATGGAGTGTGTGCAGATCGATTTTGGTTAGATCGTGAACATTGCTGTTGGTCTTCAAATGACACGGTTTTCAAAGTCAGTCCACCATTGTATCGCCGTTGTCGTCTCCGAAGGTTTTCTAGAGAATTCAATTTTTAGGACTCAGACTGTAGCGCGTGGACAGCATGGCCGGAAATGATGAATTACTATGGAAAGAATCCGTTTTTTTACGTTCTCGAATTTGTTTTCTATGTCGGTTGGGCTGTTCTCATGGCTACGTTGGCTGTGATACTTGTAAAGGTACTTTATCTGAGTTAATGGGACGCTGTACTAAGTTTTCTAGATGAAGTAATTAAATCAAAGATGTTTTAACTTTTATTTTCTGTCTATTCTTTTCAGTGACAGACTACCATGTGAAATATAACCGTAAAGATTTTGAAATATGATATTAAAGCATAAAAGGGTAAAGCTCTCGGCGTTGATCTCCCTCATGGTTGCACCACGTACGACCTTATTAAGCATCGTTGGAGGTGTTTGAATGCATATCTAGCCTTTACACTGACTCGCGGTAGCCTACCGATATATCGAGCCAGGACACCTATGCTCCCAGACAAATCTGGAACCATTTTGCCGACTTCGAAGGGATGGAGACCTTGATGGTCTTGGGGCACAGCGATCAATCCCATGTGTATCGTAGGGCGCCTCCGACCACTGCTCTACACGCGAGATATGGTATTAACTGATTTCAATAACAAGTTATCCTTCCTAGATCATTCCAATTGACAGATGATCAATAATAACACTGGTCGAATAAAAACAAGATTGTGGGGCAAGAGCCTCGGTTGGTGTAGTTGATAGCACGTGAGCCCCTGGCAAGGGTAGTTGCGGCTTGAAAACACATTTTTGGGTCCAAGTTTTGTTCATATTTTAGCAACCTTGTGGTTAAATCAAAGATATTTCGACGTTTGCCAGACTCCTGGCTCTGCCGTACAAAACGACGTTACGAGTAATCTTACGTGTGTAGCTGTATGCTTGTGTATATATATCTGTACGTATATGTATACACACATATGTGCATATAAAGTTTAATGTGTTATATATATATATATATATATATATATATATATGTTCATGTGCTGTATTCGAAAAACAGCTTCAGTGAAAGAAAAGAAATGAGTTTCAAAGTGACACCGCAATCGGCAATATGGGATGACTACATAAAAATAGTGCCACATGAAAGCACCACGGAGATGTCTGTGTTGTTAATGGAAATTTGCAACAACAGTAAACTATGAGTTCGTACCATCCGCCTTCTGCACTACATCCGTTGAAGTCAAGAAATTGCCCAACCTCTTTCGATGGAGAGTCCCCAACAATCTCTCGCTGCGTGACCTTGCAACGCATACGTTGCAAAGAGAATTGTGCAGACCACTTTTGGAATTATTTGAGAGCTAGTTCCTTATAGCGCATATCCTCCAGTCTTAGATCCTTGCTCTCAATTATTACTTCGGTCCATAAAAGTCACTTGCGAGTAAGTTCTCTGATCAGCCAGATCAGCTCTGATTTAGGAAATAAAGTCAAGCACCATTATGCTCTACAATGTTCAGTAAATAAAGGGTATTGAATAAATACCTATGATTTGGGAATACAGTGATAGATAAATTTATGTAATGAAATTACAATTTTTTTTGAAAGTGTTTTTGCTGTCGTAGTTCTTTCTTATATTCATCTTATCTTGTATAGTTACATAGTAGCACTTGTATCTCAGGTTTTTGCACCTTATGCATGCGGTTCTGGTATACCAGAAATCAAGTGCATCTTGTCTGGATTCGTCATTCGTGGATATCTAGGAAAGTGGACGTTTATAATAAAATCTGTGGGCTTAATACTGGCATCTGCTTCAGGTTTGTAACACATGTGATTCATTTTTTTCCTTTCACAAATTCAAGGCATTATCATATACCTATAGGTCTTTCATTGGGAAAAGAAGGCCCTATGGTTCATCTGGCTTGCTGCATTGGAAATATTTTCTCATATTTATTTCCCAAATATGGAATGAATGAAGCCAAAAAGCGTGAAATTCTCAGTGCATCTGCGGCCGCTGGGGTCAGCGTAGCTTTCGGTGCTCCGATCGGAGGTGTTCTGTTTAGGTGAATATTAAATCTGCTGATCTTATTAAATAGTTCCTTATTAGCTTTATACCAGTTTGGAAGAAGCATCCTACTACTTCCCATTGAAGACGATGTGGCGTTCGTTTTTCTGTGCTCTGGTTGCTGGAATTATCCTCCGCATAGTAAATCCATTCGGTAGCAACCAGGTGATTCCTATCCTATCGTCGCCATGCTTTATCTCATGGCATTAGTTTTTTGCTTCTTTATCGCCACACATTTCAGACATCACTTTTCCATGTTGATTATATGATGAAGTGGACGTTCGTTGAACTTATTCCTTTTGCGGGACTCGGCCTATTTGGAGGCATTCTTGGGAGCATTTTTATATTTGGCAATATCAGGTGAATACGTTATCTAGATCGGGTCTATCGATTTATTTGGGAAAAAAGTTGTCCCGCCTTGGAGACATCTGAGCTTTACTTTTCCCATTCTTACGGAACTGTATTTTGCATTAGACCATCCATATCGTAGTTTTTTAGATGGTCACGTTTTCGTAAGACATCGAAAATTCTTGGCGGAAATCCAATATACGAAGTAATTGTTGTAACTTTTCTCACTGCTGCTATTTCTTACTTTAATCCTTATATGAGGAAAAGCGCTTCTAACATGATTAAACAGGTGTGTTTCTAATTTTTAAAGGAAAATTGTCGAATCATTCAATTTCCGATCGGTCGTATTTTTATTGAAGACCAATTGAGTCTTAACAGTTTCTTCACGGTAGATATCTATGATTTTGGTAAAATCTCCAACACAAATCTGTTTACGTATAAAGTTGCGCGGAAGTTAGTGTTGAATTTGTAGTTTTATTTTTTTTTTCGCATATATTTGGCAATATATATGAAATCAATCCGCTTGACGGGTGTTTGCTGATAGCGCCTATACATCAGTAACACAGCTGAGAGAAAGACGAAACTAAAGACTCGTCTGATGTGGTGGTGAACGCGTTAGCCCTCGGAAAGGGTAATAGCTTGTTTGATCTCCACCGCAAACATCAGTGGTCCGGGTTTTTGCAGATATCTCAGCGCCGTTATGGTTATATTTGCCAGTAGTTTTTTTTCTGAGTATTCCAGTACTACATGTCTTGCAAAGCCCATCTTATGCACTTTCACCCCGTATAATTGAATTTCAATGTAAATTGGGTTTTCGACAAATAATAAAAACTAATTCCAAATGTCAATGGAACAGCTCCAACGAATCTATTTTTACGAATCAAACTAGGTCGTAATGCAGCACAAAAGCTCGAAGCACTGGCGGGGTATAGACCAAGGAAGTCATTACAAACGCCCGGTGCAATACTGATTTGGAAAATTACCTCATGACAAGTTAGACCTTTATGAAGGAGGTCATGAACGTGTTTTCGATATGGATTGAAGGCTTTCCTGTAGGCACATATATGCTCAACTGTTCGTGAACTTGCAGAAGAACTCTGTGTAAACATGTCGACTATTTCGTAACATTTAAAAAGTGTTAGAAATTGGAAGCAACCCGACAACTTCACGGCGCCGCAGTTGAATGGTAATCAGAAAAGCCCTCTGTTGCGGTGTTGGCTGTTCTTCCAGACGACCAGAACGATCCGTTACTCCATGGTATCCATGGTATTATGAATCGAGGAAGCGGATAGCACAGTGGTGGTGATGTCTGACATTACGAGTATGGTGCTAGTTCGATTCTGCTCCGGACCAACCAAGCCTGTCTTCCTTCCAGGATCGGGAGATTGGTACCGACCTTGTCTGGGAAGAAATCAATGTCTGCAATTAGTTGGAAAGGTTCTATTTTTGTTATCTGATGACACCAGGAAGAATTGCTCGACCAGTATTCTACGACATTCAAGATGAAGTGGAAATCCTCAAGCAGCAACCGAAGTCACACATAAAAAGTTGGAAGGTCTTCGTGGACGGTGGATTCGAGGAAACTAATCGAATGTGAGAAGTGCTGGGATCCACACAGTAGACGTGAAGATGGATCAAATAAAGTGAAATTAAAATAAAAAATTGTGACATGGCAACAACTAATGGATCCTGTATAACGACCGGCGACGACGATAGGCTCAGTGGTTGGACTACGGTGAAGCTCTCAGCGTTTTGTGATTTCGAAACTGCAGTGAAAGAAGGTCATGGTGACCGCTTCGTGGTTTCCTACCGATTAAACCCATCACAGCTTCTTGAATTTGGACAGGACGGTTATGGCCAGAAACTTCAACGGCTACCACCCGCATTGGTCAGTAGAGGCGGACCACTTCTCCACGATATTGCGCGGCTATACTTTGCACTACCAACGATGTAATTTCTAAACCAGTTGGGCTACGAAACTTTCCCTCGTCTACCACATTCCGCAAATGTATCGCCTACCGATTACCACTTCCTTAAGCATTTTGACAACTTTTACGAGAAGTGCTTCAAAAACAATCCGTAGCTGAAACTGCCCTCGAAGTCGAGATTTTAAACAGCGTGTAGAAATGAACGTGTTTCTCGTTTGCAAAAATGTGTTTTCCGATGGTTTTCACTTTCGGCTAGTGAAGTTTATTCTGAACTGTGCTTCGATATAATGTATTGCTTGTTTTTATGTACTGCCTATTATTTTTTCATGGTAGGGAATTCTGTGACATACAACCCCAGCGATGCCGGAATGTTTGCAAAACTCAGACGCCAGACTAGGTTCGAACTTTCTGCCACCGTTTTGGAACCCTCGCGTTACCTTTCTCTCAACCAGTTTCTAGCATCGGGTCTGAGTCTTCCAAATATCTGGGCATCATAATGATTATGGCTTAATATTTATACTGGTATTATATCTTGTGTTGATATTATATGTCGGTATTTGATGTTTGCTTTGAAGATGGAGGTTGAAACCTCATGCCTAAATCGTTGTTTATCTCTTCAGCTTTTTGATAGATGCGGTCCAGAAGACTATGAGGTCAACTTATGTGACTATCAAAACAAAACATTCACAACTAATAAAGTGGACGATAACTACCACACTGGCGTGTTTGGTAGTGGCGTACAGGTTTGCTTATTATATTGATTATATTTGTATGGAATATTTAAACGTAATTTTACAATATCTTTCAGAATGCAATCTGGCAATTGATAATGGCTCTCATTTTCAAGTTTATTTTTACAATATTTACATTTGGCATAAAAGTTAGTTTTGAAATTAGAAGTGTTTTGTTTTGGTGAAAGGTGACGAACATCTCTTTTTAGGTCCCATGTGGGCTGTTTGTGCCATCAATAGCAATGGGTGCTATTGCTGGAAGACTTGTCGGAATAAGTATGGAAGGAGTATTCCGCAGTTTTCAGGTCCTTTCATTTTTTCATTTTTGTTCCCGTAGAATGATGCATCGTCGACACAACGATGTTGAAAAGGGTTTCAATTGCCATTATAGTTATGAATGTTTTATATGGGTTTTCCAGATGCAGAGCGGTCATTCGATGTATTGGTCTTGTCAGATTGGAAAAGATTGTGTAATGCCTGGACTTTACGCAATGGTGGGAGCTGCAGCTGTTTTAGGAGGAGTAACACGGTTTGATCACATCTCAATCCATTTAAAACCAAATACGTTCAATTTTTTTTTCACTGTACTATCCAATTTAGAATGACAGTATCGCTTGTTGTCATCATGTTTGAACTCACTGGTAGCTTAGAGTTTATCGTGCCGACTATGGTAGCTACGATGTTTTCGAAATGGATTGGTGATGCGATCTGTAAAACGGTGAGTGTAGCGATCCCTTCTCTTACACAACTATATGTTAACTGTGAATATTTTTCTTGATAACTTCATACTGCTTTATAAGCCATTTAGGGTATATACGATGCTCATATTGAGTTAAATGGTTATCCTTTTTTGGATAACAAGGAGGAATATCCGTATTCAACAATTGCAGTGCAGGTTTGTTCGCTTTTTACCACCAGTAGTCTTGTAAATCGTTGTTGGTGGTTCTGAGTGCGGTGGGAGTCGGCAGAATCTCTTATTCTGATGTTAGACCTCGTTGGACATAATTAGAAGTGGCCAGAAACATTACGTAGTGGAGACAATGTATTGTTCTGTTCTTAAAACTTTGGTGAGCTCAAATGTGAATGTACACTGTTCTGAGGCACAAGTCACATCACTTCACTGCTATTCTGAAAAGCAACTGCATGAAGACATATGCGCGATTTTAGTTTTCTGATTATTTGAAGGAAGTGGTTTGTGAAGAAGAATCCTTCCATTAACTATATTGTCGCGGACTTCTACGCCAGAATGGGAAAGGTCAACGAAAGTAAATGGATTGGCAACACATTTTTAATGGAATGTTGAGCAGAAAACCATGTTACAGCGATTTTTCTGCCGGACGCTTTTCCACGAAAATTCATGGAGAAAAAATCACTGTTCGAAATTGAAAGACATAACCCAAATCACATGTCAATAATATCATCACAAGTAAGATGTTGTCTCTGTGACAGGCTCTATATCTCTCTTTCTATGCTGGACCTGATCGCCTCCTCTGTGTAAAATTTTATTGAGACGCAATTAAGAAAAGAAGGTTGCTTCCGTTGTCCAGGATGGTTGGTGGAGACGGGTGATGTATGAAGAACGTTCTGGAAGATTCCTTTTTTTATGAGTCGCAAACTGATGAAAGTTTAGTATGTCTATGAGCTGTTTATCGCACAATTTTTTCCAACAAGCGTTTGTTTTTCCACTACGTAGTTCAGAGTTCTCCTCACCATCAGGAGTTACTTAAGAAGCGAAGGAACGTGATGATAGATCCAGCTGCATCGTGCTTAACAACTGTTTTGAACTGTCCAGAAGTTTTATTGTTGGTGTTGTTGTTGTTGTACTTATTTTGAGTTTTATGGACAAGGTCTTTCGCGTTCTCGAAGGATTCAAAGAGCGCTCACCAAGAAGGAATTGTATTGAGAAATTGGAACATCAACTCTGGTTTTCATATCTCTCAGGAAGCTACTGGTTATTTGACCGATCTAGAAATCCAAACACACGCACTTTACCTGAAAAATCACCTTAACGCTTCGCCTGTTGACGGCACGTCTGTTCAGACGTCTTTCGAGCACCGCTCAGTGTTTCTAGACGATGTTTTCTGTATATAATCTAGCACATAAAACCGAGCTGCAAATTCTGGACGATCAGTATAAATCGTCTTTAGTAACAAACAAAGTGTACATAAAACCATTAATGAGCAAATTGTGCCATGAGCTACATCCGTCGACCTCAAATGAAATAAAGGACGATGGTGATATCAGCAAGCCGGTTCGTCCTATCGAATTCCTACATAGTCTATCGTCGATGAAGGATTGAATAACACCTGGTTCGGACATTAGCAAAAGCAGTGTTATTATTAAAGGTGACCTCTACCATATCAGTAACTATTGTCTAGTCTGCTTTCCATCTGTCCTCTATAAACTCCACTGGATTTTTGGTAAACAGGATTGACGAAACACTAGATAAAGGCAAGCCATGTGAGCAGGCAGGGTTCTGAAAGGGATTCAGTACGATGTACCACATCCACACGATAACAAGATTAAGTGAAATATAGCAAGAGCACAAGAGAGCGATCTGTTTCAACTTCATCGATTTAAAGAAAGCTTCTAATTATGTTAAAACGGAAGAAGACGTCATAGAAGCCATTGTCAACCAAGGCGTCTCTACTTAGTATATAAAGTTTCTTCGCATGTTGTATAATAATTTCACAACCACAATATCACTGCTGTACAGCGATATTAACATCGACGTCAAGGGATGGGTTAGGTAAGGCGATACTATCTCACCAAAATGGTACAACACGGGAGTGATAGTCGGTGGTTGGCAGTAATGGTTTCAATGTATAGCGTAAAATGCTCCAAAATGTTGATAGCATTGTGTTTGCATAATGGACCATAGTAATATGTAGCCTAATAATGGCGATACATATCCATACCTACAGAACGATGTCTCTTCTGCAACTGGGTCGTGTTCACAATCGCAAAAGCACCCTATTTATTGCAAATTTATTTTTTTATTGTCAAAACACCAGATATTTCGAAGCAGACGCAAAATTACCCGTAATCGGTTGGGCCAACCACGAAATATCATAGCGGGGCGCTATGGGTTGATGGAAAAATTTGTTGTAATGCTGGAAAAATCAAAAAAAATTAGCAAACATCGCCTCAACTTCCAGTAAAAAGGGGGCACTGTACCACTGCTATCTCGGGATCCTATGGAAAATCACAGTCGATCAGCATTTAACGTGTAACACATTTAAATAAGCGCGTGGTGTCATCACTTCCGTAGGTGGTTGCTGTGAGCTTGACAACAAAATGGATTGAAGTTGTTAGCCCCTTAGTATACACGAGTATATGCATACATGTATACACATATATATATGTATGTATATAGGCGCTTCTATGTATGCATATGCCTGTACATGTGTATGCATACATGTATATATGCACTCATCTGGATATACGTATATGTATATATTTGATACTTGGACGGCCCGTCCTCACTAGTACGAGCCCCAGCATAATCACCTTTTTTCGGAGATTTTCTGGTTAAACTATTGCGGTTCCTAGGAATCACAAGGACAGCCTGGCCAAAGTCTGCCCCAGGTCGTCACTGCGGCAGGCAGTCGCAGCCCTTGTGGATCAGAGGTAGATTTGCCACCATGCAACTTTGATACCACGACAGTGGTGGATTCTGGTATTGGTTTACTCTTAGCTAGGCTTCCTGATGGAAATGCCGCACTCCTCGGCTTGGGAGACCGTGCCGTGGGGACGAACCTCCCGCTGTACATCGCAGTCCGACACCCGGGAACACCTCTCAACCACAATGAGGCGGTAAACCGTTGGGAGGATACGTGTTTATATTTATATATATATATATATATATATATATATATATATATATATATATATATATAGTGTAGTTCTACAAAATATAGAGATTCGGGAATTCGAGTACGCGTACACACTGGTATTTTTTGTGATGCAGGTAATGCGGCCTTCTACTACAGCAGCTGTTGGTATCAGCAATCCTGAAAACTGTGCTGAGCGTAACGAGCTCGTTGTTATCGTCCAGGTATCCATATCATATCCTTTTGTGAAAATTAAGGTTTCAACTCTATTGCCTGTCAGGATGGCATGTCTGTCGGGGACATTGAGCAAATGTTGCGTGAGAATAACTATAATGGATTTCCCGTGGTGGTATCAGCAAATAGCATGTATTTGGTGGGATTCGTCACTCGGTTAGTTACATTTTCATAAAATTCTCGAATTTCTACTCTTATTTTTTATATTAGTGATAAACTTAGACTAGAGCGATTGAAGTATTTTGAAGTGTTAGACATGAGCTTTCGCATGCGTCTAAACAGAACTATTGGCCAAAGCTTATTTTCCCTAACGGTAATGCATTGTAGGCATATATATATATTTGTATACATATATACACGTCATATATGTACATATATATATATATGCGTATGTGTATATGTATATGTATATCCAGGCCTTGAAGATTCGTTGTCAGTCTGGTCAATCAATGAGGAAATTGGGGTGTTTATATGGGAACCCATCTTAGATTACGTATCCTAGGGCAAAACTGAGCAACACATTCGCGGGAGTCGTCTTCCCCAAAACTACTGTGGCGCAGTCTGTAACCTCTTCTTTTTATCATGTTCTTTATCCCATTGGGCTGGTGTGACAGGCGCCTGCTGGAAATGGGTTCTGTGGTGCCTAAACTTTTGAATAGAAGTGTTGGAATCAGCTTTCATGAACCTGCTGCGGTATGTGGTGTGGGCCTCACCGTGTATCGCATTTCATGGCTACTGGGCGCTCTCTCGCCATGCAGAGGAGATGGGTGATTTTCGGGTCACTGTGTGATTTCCCGTCTGTTTAGGTAATTACCCTCCTCGGCTCTGTTGGAACTGGGGTTCCAACACACCGGCGTCACTGAGGCTGTCGTTCTGCCTTTCTTTCAGTCGTCTTCGTGCGACCAAGGCGTTAATCGAACCAATTACAGATTGTTGGGGATATTCATTTGTCGATTAGGCATCATTTTCTGTTAGCAAGGATCTGGTCGGTCTCCACATGAGTCTCCGTTAGAACACTCCAATGTCTGTCTGTAGTTTCTTCGCTCTGGAAAAACGGGTTTTCTTCGAAGAAGCATGCTGCAGACCGCAGTCCTGCAGAACAATTTCCACCCACACTTCTTCCTCCTAGTAAAAAATTTTTGATCTTGTATTAACTCTCCTTGGCTTTCCTGTTCTGGCGTTGACGTCTTTCCTGGCGAAGAGCATTGGGATTAGCGTTAGAGGAGAGTGCTTTCGTATTAATTCTGCAATACTTCACTGAATTTTTTGTCGTGTTCTTTTGGTACGTCATGCATTGCCTTTGTTTTGGCTCTGCTGAGAACGACTCGAGTAGGGCTTGTGGACTACACAGTTGCCGATCTCGTGTGCGCCTCACTTCTACAACCACACGGATCTATCGGTTTTATTTTTAACATCATTTAGACACTTAAGACAAATTTTTCTAGTGCAGTAATTGTTGAAGCCTTGGCCGGTGTTGCTTATAGACTTTCTAGCTTTTGCAATTTCTGTGCTTACTGTACCTTTCTCCTTAGTTCTCATTTTATCGCTTCTCTTCAAAGATTCACCAGCTCAGAGATAAGTTTCTAGCTTTCCACACCTATCGCAGTTTCAACTGCGAATCGTAAGGTTTATTCAAAGAGCCGTATATCAGTTAAGCCTTAGCTGTCCGCACTATGGTTGGACGCGCGTACCACAGTGGTGGGAGGCGCCCTGCAATACACACGGGATCGATTCCCGCGCACAAGGCTAACCAAGCCTTTCATCACTCCTGTGTCGGGAAATTGGTACCAAACTGATCAGGAAGGATAGCAACACTGGCTCGATAAATCGGTAGGCCACGGCGAGTTAATGTAAAGGCCAAACATGCATTCAGTCACTTTTAACGGTACTTGATGAAGTCGCATGCATGGCGCTTCCCTTATTGGTCAAATCCGAGAGCTTTATCCTTTTATCCTTTATGGTCAAGGTGTTAGAGGAGTCAGTCTTGTTCGTCTTCACAATTGTCGATAGTGATATCTTAATCAAAAACATACAAAAATATCCCATTTTGTACATGCATATCATATACACATGTGTACATACATATATGTGTATATATATATATATATACATATACATGTACATATGAGTGTAATGTAGATTTCTCGTGTTCTGTCCAAGTATGCAATACCTTTATTGTAATTTTTGAACACAATTGATGTTCATTTAGGCGGGATCTTCAACTCGCGTTACACGCTGCACGAAAAACCCAACCCTACATTGTGACGGATTCCATTGTTTATTTCACAAACCAGGTCCCTGAATCCACTGCAGTAGGGCCAGCACCACTGAAGTTAAGAAAAATAATTGATCTCGTGGGTTTTTTGTAGTAACGAGTTTCATATTGGTCTCTTTTTTATCAATGTATTGGTGTATTAATTTCTACAGGCACCCATGACAGTCATTGATCAGACACCCATGGAGACTGTTATTGACATGTTCAGGAAGCTTGGTTTACGGCAGGTAAATTTAACTTGGGTTTAGGTATTGTTCGCTTTTTGAACTTTCTTCCTTAACTTTCGATTGAATGGAAATTTATTATCTCTAAGTCATAATTTTAGGTCCTAGTGACAAAGAATGGCAAAGTTCTCGGGATTATCACTAAGAAAGATATACTTCAATTTATGCGGAATGCGCAGTCGGGTTTCACAAATCCTAATTTTAAATGAGTTACTCCTCTTAAAACAAATTTGGCTCTGTAACATATTGACCATTAACGAATTTATCACCTTCGCCGTCTTACTTGATAGCTTTCTTTCATGCCCATGTGTAAGTGTGTTCAAATCTCTGTGATCCATCGGAATTCTCGTTTTTTTCTGTTATTGTTGAGCAAATTGCGGAGCTAAAATCTGGAATTTTGTAACATTTGAGGTGCTGTTTTTCAATTATATTTATTTTTTACTTTATAGCTATTCATAGCGCCTTTCTGTAAGTTTTTAATTTCCCTTCCTTTCTATTTACCATTAGCTCAAGCGTTTCTTAGTCATTTAGGCTATGGGTTCGGAATAGATTTCTATCAAATGACTACATAGTTTGCTTTATTTTTCACCTTTAGCCGTCGTCAAGATAAATACTTGTCCTAAAGCCTTCTTTAACTCCAAATAATGTCATAGACACCTGTGTATTTTAGACAGTTAAGAAGGACTAGTTTTGTCGTCTTCATCATGTCAACATACGGGTTGTGAACTGAATTCCGTTCGAACTAATTTACACGGAAACATTTTTGTAGTAATGAACTTCAAAGTCGATACATTGATAACGAGAACTACATAGTTTTTTTCATTTCAGTTGTGTTAGATGATCAAGCAGTATATGGTGTTAATTCTCAATCTAACAGGAAATTTTCCTTAAGTTTTATCCCTTCTCTTCACTAGATCATTTCATTATCGGTTTCCGATTCATCTATAGGCTTGTTACCCTGGTGCCGAAGAGTATGATGGAGAGCAACAAACATGTTTCCATAAGTAACCTCTCCTTACACTGTGTTACATGGGTTCCTATTTCTCGCCATACACTGTATTTCTAGCAACAGTCCGCGACCATCTTTCTTGGTAACCTGGTGAACCTGTGGTTTTTCCTTAGTAATTAGCTGCCAATGACGTTGTTTCATTCGAGCGGTGTTCTACTCCAAGCGATTGGACCCAATGCGATGACGAAGATACACATTACGAGATCGACTGTCCAGGCACCGTCGACAAATCACTGCTACGCTGAACAAGGCAAGGACGCCGGAACATTAAGCGGATGGAAGTTTTTATAACAACACCGCGTTAGCTTAGTCATCCAAGAAAGTGTTGATTAATCATTTCAAGGTTAAGGAAAGATCCGTTTATAAAACTATCTTTGTGGATCCTTAGCAGAAGAGATTCCACTCGTGCTGAGGAAATGTAGCTGCCTTCGTAATATGTTAAAAGCACTGCACATAGCAACTAGGTGCACAGAAGGTCGCAATAAAGAGGCAGACGTTCAGAAAGAAAAGCTGAATCGTTTGTTGGTGGCAGTTTGGCCGTAATGAGCCGCACATGACTCGTCGTGTGAACAGCCGGAAATTAGGTGTTGTCCATTGCGCCATTCATTTGAAATAATGTGTTGTTGCTTGCGTGTTAATGTGTGAATACTTAATGACTACTAAGGAGGAAAAGAGGTATAACGGACACTGGGTTCAATGCAGCTTGAAATTTGCGGAAAATTAGATGTCTTCACAGGCTGCAAACCGAAATCGCTGTTAATGTGTTAATATTGTGGATTATGGCATTACTTGGATACGTGAATACTTGGATACGTGGGTGGCCCGTCTTCACTGCTTGTGTGGGTTCCAGCATAAATTCCTTTCTATGGAGATTTGCCGGTTTAGCCATTGTGGTTTCCTGGAGTCCGAGGTCAACCTGGCGAAAGCTTGCCTTATGTCGTCACCACCACAAGCAGTCGCCGCCCTCGTGGATCAGAAAGAGATTTGCCACCACGGGCTTGTTTAGTACCAGGACGGTGGTGGATCCCAGTAATGGTTTACTTTTAGCTGGGCTTCATGGTGGAAACGCCGAGCTGCTCAGCTTGGAAACCCTACTGGGGAAATTAATACCCTCGCTGCATATTGCGTCGCGACATCTGGAAATACATTCCAGCCACGATGAGGCGGTAAACCGATAGGACGGATTATTGCATTATTTTATGTATTCCTTGCAGTATCCGATTTTACCATTGTACTTAAGCCAGGTATCGATTATGTTTATACCTGTGGCTATACCTTCGAGCAGTCCGCCTTCTACCTTATTTAATTCGTTGAATTGTACTGACACATTTTAGACGTGTTTGGTCTTCTAGACTAAATTATTCAGTTCTGGTTGCTCAACGCCTCTGTTAACAGCTGGTTATTAGTGCTTAGGAACATTCATAATCGTTTAGTTGTAGACTTATGGTGTCCGTTATACCCGTGCCTCCAGTCAATGCAGGTATTCAAGTTGACCTGGAGCTGCTTTGGGAAGCATTTAAAACGAAGCGTTCGTGTCGGTAAGTTCTTTAGATGTAACCGAGTGATATGAAGAGAGAATTCTAATGAAAACCAATTGTTGTGTGCTAGTAGTTGTCCACTATCGAACGTAATGGTTTACTTTGTTCCAGTGGTCCGTTTGGTTTTTGTTTTTTTTTTACCAATTTTTAATTCCAGGCTGCTTCAATTCTACGAAATTGTTGCTGAGTACGTACTAAGTGAAATTTATTGTAAACGGTTATGGGTAACCGAACTCCTTGAGGTATCTAGTTGGGTTTTCTTACCTGCAGGTGATGGCTAGATTCTTTAAAATGTAGTAAAGTGTTTTTGTGGGATTCTTGGTCTGTCTTCTATTTCAAAATTTTAATCCATTTAGAGACAGTTCGGTGGATTTTCTAAGGGTGTTGACATTGACATTGCTTTCTTTATCACAATGAACTTTTAGTTCGAAGAATGCCTTCTGAAAGCAGCTTTTGCCTATGTGCGATCGAGAAGGGAGGCCACAACAGGAGTACAAACTATTCGTTCTTTGAAAGTGAGTCTTTGCCTACTGCATCGTGAAAATTTATTGTTTTTTTTTTCATGGATGAAGTTGAATGGTGCTTGGGTGGTTCCACTCTATCCGAAGACTCTGACCATGTGATGGACGTGCTACGGTGTTCACACGTCTCTGGACCAGACAGGGTCTTCAGATAATGACTTAAACCCAGAAGGACGAAAGATTTAATTGCTCTGGGGATTGTTGGAACAGAGTTTTGGGTATTTTGAACGGCATCACTACCAATGAGCATCCCGCGCACTAATTTTCGTACAGACATATTAGAATGCTGCGCTCTTAAAAGTCGTAGTTTTTTTGATGCTTCGGTTAAGAAGTTATTTAACGTGGATGTTTTTATCACTGCCAACGGTTTACCGACCGCCTCATCGACGCTGGGAGGTGTTCCTTAGTGTCGGACTGCGATGTACAGCGGTGGGATTCGTACAACCCGGCAGGTCTCCCAAGCTGAGAAGGAGTCCGGCGTTCCCACCAAGAAGCCCAGGTAACAGTAAACCAATACCAGGATCCTCCACCGTACTGGTATCAATTGGTCGCATAGTGGTAAATATTCCTCTGATCCACAAGGGCTGCCAGTGCCTGTGGTGGTGACGACCTGGGGGCAGACTTTGGTCAGGCTGTCCACGGGATTCCAGAGGACTACAATGGCTAAACCAGCAAATCTCCTAAAAGACGGAGGTTATGCTGGGGCCCGCAGAACCAGGGACAACGGGCCGTCTAGGTATCCAAGTAAGTAAGTAGGTAAGTTATTGCCTCGCAAAAAAATTCATTTGGTAGGTCGTTACTTCACATTGCTAATGTTCAGGAGCGGATGTTTGGAGTCTATGCAACGTATGTGTTATATTACGCCCAACCCAACAATTATGTATCAAAGGTATCCGAAGCCTTTATTTCAACGTTAATGCTTCTCTTATAACGGTTTTCTTAGATTTTTATAACATCGAGCGACGTTGAAGATATGAAACATTTGGTCGAGAACATATTGGTCCCTGGACGTCATTTCGATACTGTTGCTTGTCTTCAAAAACTGATCGCTGATGATGCTTTCAGTATTGTTCCGTTCATAAAATGCGTGAGTATTCCTAATTCCTAGTGTAATTTAGGCCCCAGCTTTATTCACCTGTAGATGTATCCATCGCTTTAGAACATACATTCCAGTACGATCCTGTATGCTACCGTCGCCATGAAGTTTCACAGTGGGAGCTTGACGTGATTGATGACGAAGAACAACATTCACCACTAGAGGCCACGAGAAGTATCATAGAACATCCTTTATTAAAGGTTAAACGTGCAAAAAATTATTACATTGTGTTTGGTCAAAGCTCACTTCGTTATTCTAGACTATGGCCTATGTGCAGAAAGAGATGGAAGCGAAGCAACAATCATATTTTAAAATCGTTCTTGGTCCAGAGGATAATTTCTTAGCTCATTTGGATAAGTACGTATATACATAAATTAATAAAACACTATGCTTCCATAAAACACTTCTTTTACTTTCTACCGAAAGCATCTTCAAATTTTAGCATCTATATCACATTCAAGCGCAAAATTGAAGAATTTGAGATCGGCGATGTGGAAAATTCTCAAATGGTGAGCTATACTTAAATTTACTTGAGTACTTGAACCATCCGCTTTAAGGCAGAATAGTTAGGAACAAGGTACATTTTTCAACTGATTGGTGTTTCGCTGCAAAATTTTCATATGATAGCCGTTGTGGGCTTTTCTCTGGTCGTCACCACTGGCAGTCAGTGGTATAGAAAGTTCTCTTGTTTATTCCAATTTTTTCTTCTTTTTCTTTCTTTGCCATTCCTTGACATGGTCCGACTGAGTGACGTCATTATGGAGGCGGTAATTTTTCCACACTTTTAGCAACAAGCGTATTGTTTACGATTATCTTTGTACGACCATTATATATGAACACTTTAGTAGGTCTCGATTGGTTATTATGTGGTAGATTTAAGGATGCTTCAACTAATAAGAATGGGAAGCGGAATTCAAAAGTAAACAATGACGGGAGTGCGAATCGATCATCGATCAAGTATAGGGCGTACGCGTCATCGGTTTCATATTCTAGGAGTCGTCGATACGCAGATCCTAGCATGCTTGGTAAGAACTTCCATTTTTTT